CCCCAAATGTGACTAAAGGGAAGTAATCAACGTAATAATTTTGTTCCTTGAGCATCTGCAATTTTTCAATCCATCAGAAGTTGTTCTCATGTGTGCTGATGTTTCACGTTTGAAGGTGTCCCTGGTCTTAATGATGTGCCAGTATCAGAGGTTAGATGTCCTTTTTTCTTTTTTTTTTACTTTTTTTACTTTTTTTTTCCTCTCTAGATCTACAGCTGAAAGTTACAGAGATTATATTTTTAAGTTGGGTTTTTTTCTGATTTGTATTGTTTTCTTTCCAAATGCACAACAAATTACAGATACTGATATATTCTGTTTTCAATGTTTCTGTACATAAAACATAAAAATTCTTGCCGAAAAAGTGCAAAACATGTCACAAATGGTGTTACAGTAACTTGCATAATTTTTGCTTAATTTTGCTTCTTTTTTTTTTGGGGGGGGGGGCATAATTTGACCATCTAAATTTGCATAGTTCTGCGGAGGCAGATTACCTCTCTAATGACTTGGCAAAAAAATATTGGCTGAAATTTGCCCCAATTTGTAGAACTAACCAATGTAAAAAAAAATATTGTTCAACTAAAAACACAAATATTGAGTGTCCTGTCTTCTCACTGGAGTGTGAGAAAATCCGTTCTTAATATCCCTGGTTACAGAATTGTTTTCTCGGTAGGTACCCTCGATGATGTCGCCAATGCGCTAATACACAAAGGACGGAGGTTGACAGTGTTTATTTAGATACCTAAGGTCTGTCTCCAGTCTAAATTCACCTTGCTATTTGGGAACTAAATGAATCGGACTCACAAATTGAAGAAAAAAGTCAGGTGTGCACTTCTGAATACACTTAACAGTCTCTAATTTTCTCATTTCCTTTTCAACGAAGGCTTGTTCTTTTGTGCTCAATACAGGGTTTCTCAAAAGAAAAGGCTGTGGTAGATCAATATAATGAATTTTTACTCCACAAGATATCCATTTTAATACTTCCGAATTGTTCGTTATTTTCACCCAATTGTCCAGTCTCAGACTAGCAGCACCTTGAAACATTAAACATACACACCCCAAGAGAAATGGCAGTTCTTTAACGTAAATACAGCCTCCTGATTGGCTGAGTATCTATTATTCATCGTCCGGCCTCGACTTTATTGGCGGACGACTGCTGCCGAATAGGGATCCCCCGTGACCTGAGTAGTTGTAACTTCTCTGTGCCCCTGCTCTTCCAAACTGGAAAGGGGGGAAGGTCCGACCCCGAGCCCTGCGAGGGTTGGTAGTGGTAGATCTATGCTGACCTTGTCGCGATTGTGCTGCAGCAAGCTCGGCAACCACTCTTAGGGAGATGCGTCGTTAAAGATCTCAGAATTGTTTTCAAATTGTCTGAAAATGCGGGATATTTCATTGTTGAAAGTACTTTTAACAACTATATTCGCGTATTCACTTTGGAGAAATCTGATTTGTGCCTTAGCACATGTCACATTGTCGCGGTCAACTCGAGACGTATGGGATGGGTCAATAGAAGAAAGAACTTTCAGGGTCACCTCGGCATTGTTTTATCCCTGTTGACGTGTCGTTCAGTTTTAGTCCAACTGGGATTTGCACACGGGTTAGAGTCTCTAAAACGCTCAAACTCTCTTTTTAAGTCAGTTGCTTGCAAGCGCGCAGGGCTGACTGGGGCTGCTTAGCCCTTTCGGATTCGAGCGTCGCTCTGTTAGTCGTAGGATTACAGTAATTTAAAGTAAAGTCTTTTGGCGCACTTACTGATGATACGTATGTAGCCTCAGCTGATTCTGTCGTCAGAGTGGGTCTAGACCTGGGTGGTTCAGCGGAATGTGTGTTTTTGTCCCCGTGAGGAGCGGGCTTTAATGCAGTCTCTTTCACGATTGAAAGTCTCTAATCTAGTGACAACAACAAGTTTTTAATATCTTACAGTTTTGTTTCCACACCTTCTGCCATGCCCTTGAGCTGTTACAGTACCTCTTTTCCGATGCAGAAACCAATGGAAACAAATGTTGACACGATGATCAATGAAGGGGCTCCAAGTGAAAAAGCACAGTGGCAAAGACAATGGAGAACACATTGGGATTTCCAGTCGTTGTCTGCCTGTTTTACTTTTTCCCAGCACTAAAACCTTTCTTATGTTAATTTGCTTCTATTTCCTCAAATGAACTCAAAACAAAACCAAAAAAATGTTGTGGCGATGACCCTTTGGCATTTAGATATCTAATTACTTTTTGTTTAACCTGCAGGTGGACTTTCCAGCGCCAGGAGCCATTCCACTGTCAACTGTGTGAAAAGCTTCATCGCAATACCAGCACGGGACATTACGAAAACCTGCAGAAAAGTGTAAAAGGTACGGAGTTGGACCCCCAATGTTGGGCGCCCACAGACTTGACAAATGAGAAGTCGAGAAAAGCAGGACGTCACTAATCACGTGAGGTGCAAGACATGCGCTTTCGTGGTGCAACACAAGCTTGAATAGACCTAATATTTATCTTGGATAGGGGTTTATTGTTGTTGTTGTTGTTGTTGTTGTTGTTGTTGTTGTTGTTGTTGTTGTTGTTGTTGTTGTTGCTGCTGTTGTTGTTCTCGTTGTCGGTTGGGGGGGGGGGGGAGTTTGTCTTTTTCCGTGCGTGTTTGTCCTGCATTTTTATACTACTTCTTGCATTTTGTTCATTTACACTTTTCGTTAGAAAATTAAGGTTGGTATAACTATAGGTAGTGTAGTGTGTAAAACCCAACATCGCGAGGTGTGCTTTCAACGATGTTGGGGTGTGTTTTGTTTGTTTATTTGTTTTTGGTTTTGTCTTTGTATTTTTGGGTTTCTTTAGAGGGTGCTTTTTTTTTGTTGTTTTTTTGGGGGGGTGGGGGGTGGGGGGGTTGTAATCAACGATTTATAACTTGTTCAGCTAAACTGTCCGAAGTACCGTTCAAGGGAGTAGCAGCTCTTTTTTAAATCAATGATTTATTACATGTTGTTTTATGATGCACTTAAACATGGCCAAAGAACGGTTCGCGGAGGGTAACAGATGCTGCTGGCCAAAAACCTGTGCAGTGGCGTTTTACTTATAAACATAGTCACAGGGGCTGCAATGCAAGCGGGGGGGGGGGGAGAGAGAGAGAGAGAGAGAGGGGGGGGAGAAGAGGGGGGGGGAGAGAGAACATAGGGGGTTTTTTCTTTGTCGTAGTAGAGACCCGAGATTTACACCTTTTTGACCACCAGCTGTTGAGTCCGAAATCTTCAGACAAAAAGCTGTGGAATGCCGTGGAAATAGACTGCTTTTACAAAGCGCATATGTTGCTCCAAAGTGGGATGCACCTGTGTTATTAGTCACCTTAAAACACCTTCAGATTTCGACTTTTTTTCAGTTCCCTTTGAAGCATTCAGTACAAGCCGCGGTTTAACGATTAGGCTCTTTTCTGTTGCCGCGGGAGACCTGAGTTCGAATTCCGAGTGTGGAGAAATTTGTGTCGAGAATCTCGGTCTTTCTATGGGGAGGTTATATCTATCTCAGCCCAGATTTATCCACTGACAGGTTGGGTCGAAGCCCACCATGATGACCTGTGTATTAAAGGGGGTGTAAGCAGACCTACATTTTCTTATCTTTTTTTTAAATTATGGCCTGCTCTTTAATTGGCCGAACTAAAAAATTATGGTCTAGACGTGACAGACAAAAAAAATCCCCTTTGATTTTGGACAACCGATTGGGTTTGGGCAAGCCAGCATCAAAATATAATGAAAAAACTCTTATCAGACCCTTTGCAGCCTGTGGGACGATGATGCAAAGTCGGAAGGGTTTACCCTAGCAATGGTAATTTCACAAATACGTTATGTTGTAAGTCGGGTCTATTTCTCTATATTTTAATCTATATGTAACACAACCAAATGGTTCCTGGTCGCCTCTCTTTTCCATATGGCTTATTACTTGCGAGCACGCACCAGTATTCCACTGTCCGGTGAACTTGATTTTAAATTCAAGGAGTATTTGGGGCTCTTTGTGTTCTTATATTTCGTTGTCGCTTGTCTCTTCGTTTTCTCTGCTTCTGTGTGCACTTGGGGTATTTTTAACAAAATCCATAATGTACTGATGCGCCATATATTACAACCTCACCGTTATTGCACGTCCCCATTGTTGTTGTTGTTGCTGTTGTTGTTGTTGTTGGTGGTGGTGGTGTTGTTGTTGTTGTTGTTGTTGTTGTTGTTGTTGTTGTTGTTGTTGTTGTTGCTGTTGTTTTGGTTGTTGTATGTTTTACCCTGCCCAATTCTATCATCTGGCGCATTTGTGTTTAGTAGTAACAAAAAATTGCAGCATTTAGGATTTTGAAACTAGCTGGTTAGTCTTAGAGTAAATACACAAGAGAAAAGAAAGATAAATAAATCTTTCGCTCAAATAACGTTTTTAGTCTGTTACAAATCCATGGCTAGCATAGCTCCAACTAGAAATGGTTACAACAACAGCTGGTTAGTAAACTCGCACAAAAAAGTCAAGGAACAAAAATTCAAAGAAAGATAACTGAAGAACAGTTTAACCAAATTTATTCATTTTTTCCAAAAAGTTGCTTTCAACTCTTTAGATTAAGTGTGTACAATTTCAGATTTCAACAAAAACGAGAAGTTCATGTAATATGAGTTTAAGTCACACTGGTCGGATTTCAAAAGTCTGAATAGCCATAGTTCTTCATGAACATGGTCAATAGTGGGTGTAGCCAGTCCGTTTGATTAAACACTCGGCACAGCGTCGACGTATGGACAGGACATGCCTTCGGGGGACTTGTTGCTGCAGTAGGTTCTGGACGAGGTAGCCAAGAGTTGCTTAAGGTTTTGTGCAGGAGAGTGGTTGTCTCTTAGCCACAGGTCAGTGGGATCCCAAATGTTCTCTATTGGGTTCAAATCCGGACTACAAGCTGGTCAGTCCATGCGGGTGACAGCTCGCTGCTACAGGAAGTCCCCAACGATTCGTGCGCGATGTGGCGTGGCGTTGTCGTCCTGCATTACAGCCTGGGGTCCAATCTGTGGCAGGAGAGAAACAGCAAGGGGGTTGCAGGATTTCCTTCCTGTACCTTTCTGCGGTCAAATTGCCCTGTATATGGTACAGGGGGGTCTTGTGGTGAGCTGAAAAGCCTCCCCACACTGTAGGGCGCCACCTGCTGGATGCACTCAGTGTGGAACAGCTCTCCTCGGCGCCTCCAGACGTGGGCTCGCTTGTCTGGGTGCAGCAGGTTGAATCTGGATTCGTCCGAGAAGACTACCTGGTCCCACTGACATTGTGTCCACTGTGAATGGTGAGCAGACCACGCCCGACCAGCTGCTGTGTGGGGCAGTGTGTGCCTTGGGCACCTGGCAGGGACACGAGAAGCGAACTTGGCTCTACGGATACCGTTCCTTACCGTCTCCTCGTTCTCGTGGACATTGGCAGTCACCTGTACTTGGTCCCTGGTGCCATTTGAAGTAGTGGTTCGTGACGTCACGGCCTGTCTGACAATGAACCGGTCGATGCTGTCGTTGGTCAAACATGGCACCCTGGTTGAGGCCTGTCCTGGACCCTTCCCGTCGCTCGTCATCGCTCTTGCAGCCTCCATATGACTGATGGGGACACCCCAAGTCGATGTGCAATAATTGGGAACGTGGAGTAATCTTGCAACCAGGCAAGGACTCGTCCTTGGACCATCGTGTTGTAATGAGACGTGTCTGAAAATCGCTGCCTTATAACTTATAAAAGGTTGTAAGGGAGCAATAATCACACCTAAGACATCTGTTTAGCACGTGCCAAGCTTAGTTTTAGCAATGATAATACATAACAAGATGGGCCACTCAGCCAAAAAAGTGTCCGCAGGAAGTATGCTCTTTGCTTCAGATGGCGCTGCAGTCTGTTTTGAAGCTCTCTTTCGTTTTTCCAGAAGAAGAATAGGAATAGCACCTCCTTGCGTGCGCAGATCGACTGCTGTTCATCAGCAGTTCGGGTACGTTCAGTGCGGAGTTTTAGTTTTTTTATATTTTAATGACCTCTCGCCTTTCATTCTAAAGTCAAATTAAACAAAGAAAACCATCACCCTTTCCTCCGGAAGAGGTTTTTTGTCAGCGTAACCATTTTAAAAAAGCGTTCTTCCGAAATTTATCCAAAAAACTTGCTAGTTTCACTTTGATTTTGTAAAACTCAAGTAGGGTAACTCTGTTCGCAAAGAGTGCGCTTTTGTGAAGAGGGCGCCACCAAATTTGGAGGACACTTTTTTAATTGGCTCAAAGAGAGAAGTGGCCCATCTTGTTATGTACTATCATTGGTTTTAGCTAACAGTCCCTATGCCAATGTTGCTGAAGCAGAGAAATTTAGCCCATTTTTCATGATTTTCGACTGTGTTTCAGACAGCCCTGCGCCGTCACTGTGAAGCTAGTGCGGGCAAATTTGCTGTACAGGCAAACTGTGTCTAGTTGTCAGTGCATGTGCCAAGTTTGGTTGACTGATCTTAACGGGTTTGTGAGATATTGAAGTTTAAATTTGACAGGTGAAAACACAAGCTGTTCCTTGACTTTTTGGGCGAGTTTAGTTAATTGTACAGATAACGTTAGTCCTACATTTCTCTGCTTTACAAGTCACGAGGTGGGCACCGTCTTTTCCACTCCCTTGTGGAGTCGTCTTTAAAGTGTCACCGAAGATTCCGAAAGTTTGCCCGAAGTCTCTTATTATGGCGGTGACATTGTCCGTATTGGTACCTAATTTATAGGGTCAAGACGAGTAAGTAGAGGGGAATAGATAGAGATACAAATTTGCTGGTATGGGGGTGGTGGTTTTATGTTTGCATCTGTATATATTTAGCCTCTTTTTAATATTTGGTTGTTGTTGTTGTTATTGTTGTTGTTGTTGTTGTTGTTGTTGTTGTTGTTGTTGTTGTTGTTGTTGTTGTTCAAGTTGTTGGCTTTTGGGGGTGTTTTGTGTGTGGTTTATTTGTTGGGGGGGGGTTGGAGGGGGGGATGCGGTGGTGGGTTTTTTTATTACACTTTCATTGTATTTCATGTAATGAGTGAGAGCACTGTGCCATATAAATCATGAACATTCCATGCACCATGTGGGCGAGTTTTGACAATTTTTCTTTAAATTGATTTTGAGATAATACATAATTCAAATCGATTGTTGCCTTTTCATCAAGCAAAATTAAACATTGAAGCAAAACAATTTTTCGTTGACGGCGTAAACAAATAAACGGATATATTTGCACCTCTCATCGTTCTTTTCTTTTGTCATGAGCCCATGGTTTCAGTAGTTCACTTATACATAAGGGTGATGTCATAGAAAGTGGGCGAGATCTAACTACTTCCTCGCGAGGTGAAACGGAATCAGCTGTGCTATTGCAAGCAGACGACCTGAGTTTGATTCCTGTTTGAAAAGAATTGCTATCCAGCATGCTGGTCCTTCTACTGGGACGTTGTACCTTTCTCAGCCTGGGTTAGCCCTGACAGGCAGAGCCGAAAGCAGCCTCCTGAATGCCTAAAGTAACTAAATTTAAATTATGTCGTTATCGTCTCTTTTGGTGTGGATTTAACGAATGTCTTGGCATGGTGAGGATGTTTTCAAGGCTGAATCTCTGAATTCAATGTCCATTTCTGATATTAGCGAGTTGATCTGCTGGATTAACTTAAGTTCAAGAAAGGCCTGTTAAGGATTCGAACTAGCATCACCCACTTCGAAACCTAGCTCTCATCTACATGTTAGCATAATTTGAATTCACAGTCTTACAACTAATGAAGCGTGTTATTTTTTCTAAAGTATATCTTTCTATCTATCTATCTGTTTATCTATCTATCTATCTATCTATCTATCTATCTAGCTATCTAGCTATCTATCTATCTAGCTATCTAGCTATCTAGCTATTTAGCTATCTATCTGTCTGTCTATCGTAACGTTCCCTGAGTACAAAGGTAGTGCACCAGCGTCTGTGTTGTAGCAGTCAGGCGCTTCGCTGCAACAAACAGGAGACACGAGTTCGATTCCCGAGTGAGTAGACAATTTGTATCCAGTATCTTGACTTTTCAACTGAGAAGTATCCCTCTAAGCGAGGGATGGCCCTGACATGCAGTGTCGGAAGCCCGCTTCCTAGATGATCTAAATTGTGTCTATGAGGGCGTAAAAACGCATACAATGCTACAAAAAAAAGAGCAGTACAATTGAGCATGTGAGTCTGTACGTTCTTGTGCGTCGATGGAACTAGATTCGTATACGATCTCTTAGTATTTGAAAAGTGTTCAGAAACTATTAAAGATAGATAAGCCTATCACTATCAGGCATTTTGGATTAGCATTAGTCGACAGTGAAGTCTGGCCACCGGAATGTGACCGGGAGGGGATGACGGATGTTACTTTTTGTTTTGTTGTGGAAAGATCTAACGGCTGACAACACAGGTTGATACTCATGGTTTTGTTGAGAGCGTGTTGCTCAAATTTCTCTTAATAAACTTTACCCTTTGAAAACGAATCTGAACTGTTATGCTTGCATGACTGCTGATGGGAAAGAAAACTATTAGATCTAGATCTACATTCATTAAATGGTGCCGAAATCCGGGAGTTTCGTTTAGAAGTGGTGAGTCTAAGAGAAAGAGGACCTGAGTATCGAGTATCGATAGGCCTAGATTCTAGATCCTGAGAAGGCCTAGATCTAGATTGAAGACAAGACAGAAGAATGGCCGAGGCTGAAGAAAGTGAAACTGGGGTGGTTGTTTTGCCATCTCAGGCCTTTAGAACCAGGACATCAGCCAAAAGTTGGCTCACTAGAGCAGAGAAAGCACTCCAGGATCTGCTGACTAAAGCAGAGGGAAAAGTGTTACTGAGTGCAACAGAACTAGAATTCGGAATCGAACAATTCCAAAAGAGACTGGAGGCGTTCGACCTCTGCCAACAAAAGGTCGAAGAAGGGCTCAAATAGAGCAGTTAGAGACAGAAATAAACAATGCTGCAGACTTCCGAGATATAAAAACCAGAAGCTTAGTCAGAGCAAAAGAACTGCTCGATAGAACAGTCGGGGACAGAGAAGGGTGGTACAACTGGGACAGATGAAAAGAGGCTGTTTACACAGACTCAGGGCAGAGCCCTTTTCTGTCATTATGAAATTTCTGAAAGGGTCATCAGACAAATGTGGGACTTGGAATCAGTTGGGATTGTGGGAAATGAGAATAATGGTATGCCCACTCCGGATGAAGAGAAGGTACTGAAAACCTTTAACAAAGACATCCTGTTTGATGGAAACAGATACGAGGTAAGACTGCCCTGGAAGAATAGAACCTTGTTGATGACAAATGAAGAAGAAGCCTATGTGCGGCTTGAGAGACTGACCAGAAAGCTGTCAAAGAACCCTCAGTTGAGGGAAAGGTATGATTCTGTGTTAGCTGACTTAGAGAAGGATGGAATAATTCATGAAATTTCACAGGATGAACTAGAGACGGAGCAGACAGTTTTCTATCTCCCACACAGGCCAGTGGTCAGAGAAGATAGCATTACAACCAAGGTCAGGCCAGTGTTCGATGCCTCAGCCAGAGGTAAGAATGGAATCTCCTTAAATGACTGTATTGAGACGGGTCCAAATTTGATTCCAGAGTTAATTCAAGTGCTTCTACGTTTCAGAAGATGGAAATTTGGACTGACGGCAGACATTCAAAAGGCCTTCCTACAGATCAAACTCAACAAAGAGGACCAGAATGTACACCGATTCCTGTGGGATGTCAACAATCAAATCAGAGTGATGAGATTCGACAGAGTCATCTTTGGAAATGCTTGTAGCCCCTTTTTATTGAATGCAACATTGAGATTCCATCTTGAAAAGTTTGCAGATTCCAGGACGGTGAGAGAACTCAGAGAAAACCTCTATGTTGATGACTGGCTGACAGGAGCGGACACCGAAGAAGAATTGGTGGAAATGATGACAAAAGCAAGGGAAACTTTGGAACAGGGAGGATTTCCTCTTACAAAATGGGCATCAAACAGTTGTAGGGCTAGAGAAGCAACAGGTAAGACATTCCATGTATCCACAGAAGCCACAGGCGCAAAGGTAACTGGAATCTCATGGAACACCGTGGAGGACTGCTTCAACTTTGAGACCCTTGAAGTATCAACAGAGATGGTGTTGACGAAGAGAAAACTACTGAGCATCATTGCCAGAGTTTTTGACCCTCTTGGAATGCTGACCCCATACACCATCACTTTGTAGATACTCTTTCAGCAGGTCTGGAGGGCAGGCCATGACTGGGATCAAGCACTACCAGACGATATACAAGAACCAGTCTCGAAATGGATCGAGGGACTACAGGAAATTAGGAACTGGGGACTTCCCCGCTGCCTATCAACCCAGGCCTGGAGTAGCATTGAAGCAATGGAACTGATTGCTTTCTCTGATGCGTCAGAAAAGGCCTATGGATGCTGCATTTATTTGAGGGTTGTGAATACAACTTCAATTGAAACATCACTGATCTTATCAAAGGCTAGAGTTGTGCTCCACTGAAGAAGATAACTCTCCCAAGACTTGAACTCTTGGCAGCAGTTTTGATGGCTAGACTGGTGGTATTTGTGAAGAGAGCACTCAAACTGGCAACAAACATACCCTACACCTGTTGGACAGACTCAAAGATAGTGCTGCACTGGATACAAGGCGAACCGCACAAATGGAAACAATTTGTCTGTAACCGAGTGACAGAGATACAAGAACTGACAAACCCAGCCAACTGGTAACACTGCCCAGGAAGGGTCAATCCTGCTGATCTCTTAACCAGGGGCTTGAAAGCTAGAGGATTGATGAATTCCTTGCTGTGTAAAAATGGACCTGAATGGCTGAAACATTCTTGTCCTGAACCAACCAAAGGATCCTTGATGAAATCTGAACAAGAAAGGATACTAGAGACAGAAAGTGAAATGGCAGGGTCAGAGGTTGTGCTGATATCTGTCACAGGTGAAAGGAACCCATTCATCGATTATCACAGATTTGGGCAGTTTGGAAAGCTGTTAAGAGTAACAGCATGGGTGCTTAGCTTCATAGGAAATTTGAGGAAACCAAAGTCACAGAATTTCTCACAAAGAATTTCATCAGATGAAATAAACCAGGCGAGAACGACTCTCCTCAAATGCATCCAAAGAGAGCATTACAGACAGGAAATCTATGACCTGCAAGAAAAGAAAACAGTGAGCAAGAGGTCCCCGATAGCAGCACTCGCACCTTTCTTAGGAGAGGATGGATTGGTCCGGGTCAAGGGCCGACTGGAGAATGCCCCAAGCCTTATGTATGATGAAAAGCACCCAGTGGTGTTACCAAAGGGGCGTTTCTCATTTCTTTTGAATCGCTCGCAACACATGCAAATGAAACATGCAGGAGTGGAAACTTTGATCACAGCTATGAGAAACAAATACTGGATATCAGGAGTGAGAACGTTATCCAGGAAAGTCTGCAAGCAGTGCATAAGTTGTCAAAACAGGATTCCAGACCACAGGATCAGGCAACAGCGCCATTGCCAAGAGAGAGGATAACCAGGGCCCCACCTTTTTCTGTTGTGGGGGTGGACCATGCAGGCCCAATGTACTGTGTAGACACTGGAGAGAAGAAGTTATACATTCTCATGATTGCCTGTGCGTTGACAAGGGCTGTTCACATTGAACTAGTTGACTCATTGTCTGTAGAAGATTGCATTTTGGCTCTTCGGAGATTTTCAGCAAGGCGTGGCATTCCCTCAGTGATTTACTCAGATAACGCCAAGACATTCAAAGGGGTGAGTAATCTCATTCAATGTCAGATGGGTCCTATGACAATCACATGGAAATCCAATGCCCCCCTTGCGCCATGGTGGGAAGGTTGGAGGGAGCGTCTCATCCGATCGACTAAATCTGGACTTCGGAAAACAAATGGAAAGAGATCAGTGACAAGGACGCACCTGGAGACTCTCATACATGAAGTAGAGGCTTGTATCAACTCTCGACCTCTCACGTATGCAGCTGAAATGAAGAATCCTTTGACACCGTCTCATTTCCTCATTGGCAGAGGGACACCCATGGTTTCAGCAGAGATCACAGACTACTGCAGAGACTTTGCAGACTTCCAGAGGAGAGAGCAAGTACGGCAAAATGCAATTGAACAATTTTGGAGAGTGTGGCAGAATGAATACATAAGATGTTTGCCACCTATGAGACTGAGGAAGCCCAATGAAGAGATGAAGATTGGCTCACTAGCTCTCATCAGAGAGGAAGGCAGGCCTAGGTTACAATGGCCTTTAGCTGTTGTCACAAAGTTGTACCCTGGAAGAGATGGGTTTGTCCGAGCAGTGGAGTTGAAAACAGGTAAAGGGAAAATTAGCAGACCCATTCAGAGACTTCACAAGCTAGAGATTTTTGAAGAACAAGATAATGAAGAAGGGGAATTGCAGGGTCCTCTTCAAGGGGATTCAGACCCATGGGGCGTCTGGGGAAACCACTGTCACTGACGAAGGGTCTGAGAATTCAAGGGAGACTGTGTCTTCCTCAGGGAGGGTGATCAAAAGAAGGGCAATTCTTGACTTGTAAGACTGTGGCTATTTAAACTGCACCAGGGATTGTGACAGGTTACACTATTATTACAATGACTTTATGTTAACTGTAAATCTGAATTCACATTTGGTCAACATAACATAAATATTGTTAGTGACTTGGTTTGATTTAACTTGAGAATTGGAAGGATTTACTCATTGATTTTGTTCAATTTCTATGGGTGCTTTAGATTGTTCCTTTTATTACCGGTACATTCAGATGGATGTTTATGTTTTGTTTACAGGACAAGAACAATATTCTATCCTTTGAAATTTAGTTTTATTGATCTTGATGATGTGTAGTAATATGCTCAGAAGAATTATTTTGGTACTTGAGCCATGGTAGGCTTACTTTCTGATGGAGGTCATTTGACACACTTTGTTTGATTCGTGTATGACACTGATACATGACTGTATGATTTCTATAGATTGGTCCCTGATAGATAGTAGCAAGGTTTGCCTACTTGATAGAAATTGGATATGATTTGTAATTGTTGAGTAATGATACAGCGTATGAATGACTTATGATTATTTGACAGTAGAAGTCTATTTAGTATTAGCATGATGACTTTGGAAGAGTGGGCAGTACGCTTGATAAATAGAAGTTGGTTATGGACAGCACTTGGATTTAATGGGAAGCTACAGGTACATTCCTAGACTTGGGACTTCTGAGATTGATAATGCGGCTTATTGATATTGATGTAAAACCAGTCCAGAATGTTGATCTGAGACAGAGATGTATTTGAGTATTACATGAATATTCTTAGATTGATGAACCTAATACGGTTAAGGTTATGAGAATTTATTCACTTTTTTTCTCTTGCGGTATTTTGAGCTGTGAATGTTTGATATTGAATTGGAGTACTGATTGAAGTTACATTAGCTACCAGTAATTGGATTGTTGACTTTTCGGATTGTCAGGGGAGCTAATCCAAGGTGGGGAGTATGTTAAAGATAGATACGCCTATCAGGCATTTTGGATTAGCATTAGTCGGCAGTGAAGTCTGGCCACTTGTGGTGTGCGAGTAAGCGAAAAATCTTGGTCGAGTAATGATCGGTTAAATGCAAAACTGTTCGGTTAACCGATGAAATTGACCGAAAAAAATTTTCTCGACCAAGAAATCTAGATCGAGCAGGGGTCAAAAGTCATCGCAGCTGCGCCGTAAGCACGCATTTTTCAGCTGATGTCTGGATCTAAAAATAGCTTTTGGTCTTCGTCGCTTCACGCGGTATAAAAATAAGAGTCAAGTAGATCGAGAAGATGCGTGCAAAGTTAGTTAATTTGTTTAACTTGTATTTTTATTGCTCCTTCCGGGAAGATTGAAGAATACCGGA